TTCTAGGGGTACGTTTGCCAGTGCGGTTTCCTGTCGACCACATTGTCTTATTTGAAATAACCAACAGGTTCGCGTAGTTTTGTAAGTTGAAGTGATAACAAAGAAATCTGTCTCTAAAACGAAGTTTTAACCATGTTAATAACAGAAGAAAATAATTCCTGCCTTTATTTTGGGAAAAATCGATATCTTTGGCTACAAAGGCCAAATTAAATAATTCTTTCTATTCTTGTAAAATTCTGGATAATGACAAAATAGGATGAATATTTTCATTTTTACATCTCTAAGAGCAGTGGAATATGTCTGACCTTTCGTACCTATTCCAGATAGTTCGCCTTCTTCAGTGATTCTGCGAAATATTTCTGGTTACATTTATGTTATGTTCCGAGGTCTTCCTTTCGCCAAACACGCGAGAGATTCGACTCGCGCTATTTAGATTGCGCCATGCGCACCGATACTACAACTCATGCCTTCCCATCTCCGGATTCGAAACGGGCCCTTCAGGCACGGAGCCGCGCCGCTAGCCGCTACCTGGCGGCCGAAAGCTCCCTCTAGAAGAATCAAAAATAAAAGCATAACTTTTTGCTTTGTATTTAGTTGAAATTTGGTGTATTAACATTGAATTCCTTTTTTTTTTTTTTTTTTTTTTTTTTTTTTTTTGTTTTTTTTTCTATTGTTGGTCTGTTTCAAGAGCCCCAAATGTTCATATGACCGCAGAGCGGCCCCTGGAAATTTAAAAGAAGACGGATTCTATAATATATAGTTTTATAAAAAGAATCCATAGTCTGTTAGGTTTTTTATTAAACAGATAAATGTAGTTCAGCAAGGACATTCAACGGGCCCCCTAAGCTTTAGGGCCATTATGCGATGGCTTATTGCATACCCTTATTAAGCCCACGGCCGTCCAATGATCTATCCGTTTGAAGTTTTAAGTTATATATAATATAGGTTTGACAGTATTGTTAATTTGCAATTGGGTTTTCAAGATGATTTCGTGAATATTTATTTTGATTATATCCACATATATTAGATGTGTAAATGTGTGTATCTTAATAGAGCACAGGGGGTGTGTGGGAACTGTAATAGATAGAGGGCGTGTTGCGCCAAAAGAATTCTTCTGGGTTTTTACATTATGTATATGTGGTTAGCCGTTGCGCGTGTGTGTGATTACTGTGATCTATTTGGTTGTTCTATTAAACTAAATGAAAAGATATAGTCATGTATGTTTGTAGACAAAATCAAGATCAAATTTACCACTGATGCAAACTCGTTGAAACAAAATAGCGTTCGCACAAGAATCGCCAAGGGTATTACTCCCTTTCGAACTTGCATTCGTATTGTCAATCGACTTCGTAACAGACGGTAGCTGTAGTAATGAGGGCGGTTCCACTGTAATTCGATTTTTTAGAGTATTTAAAAGGCTGTGTCTAAGACTTAAGATATTACTAATAGAACTATGATTAAAGTTGTTAGGATAAGCACATGTCTAAAATCTATTAAAATAATTTTTATAAGCTTTTTAAGAGCAGATTATTGTTTAAAGAAATGTTTTTTCTTATTTAGGAGACATGGTTTACAAAAGAGGGGAAAAAAAACCATTCCTTTTCAAAGCAGCGAACGAATTTATGACCTGATACTGTGTATTTTTAATTAATTTTTTTTAAGTTTTATGTAAGTTTATTTATGATTAAGGAAATTATTTAAGTCTGATTAATTACATATATTTGCTTCATATGTTTAACAAAATTATAAAACAATACTTCTTAAGTAACATGCTGTATAATCGAGGGAGAGAGCATAAAGTTTGTTTCTGTGTCACAGTATATTTACAATTTTCACCAAATCTCGAAATTTATAATACTAGGAATATTTTTAGTATCACTTCTAATGGTAAATTTACTTAGATTATTTATTTTACTATATGTTTGTAAAAATTATAGGTAAAATTAAATGCATTAACTTTAAGCTAAATGAAGTATAAATTTTGAACAATGTTAAAGCAATTGTATTAGCATCAAATTTAATGGAAGCAAGCTTTAAAAATTAGGTCAGTTGAGAAATTTTATGCGATTTAAAAGCATGTCTAGGATTTTAAGAAAACTTTATATGTTAATTCAAGGAATTATTTGAAGGTAAGTAAATGTTATGCGTTACCATCTATTATTTCAAACAATAGCAGACTGTGACAACACTGAGGCAATAGAATAAAAAGATTGTTGTACGTTGAATCAAGGTATGAACACAATTTTAAATTCCGTAGTACAAATGAATTCATTGCTATGTTGAATTCTTTAATTTACTGAAATGTATTTTTTAGAAGGAGAAAAATATATTTTTGAACAGAAGACTAGAATATTTCACAAAATGTCTTTACGTAATAATTGTCAATGAACATGCAACACGTTACTCAATAAGTTGATCTAACGCAACAGTGTCTATTTAGTAAAATTACTAAAAAGAAAGTCTAGAACTATTTATAAGTGACACTAAAACATACTTTTTTTTTCAGCTATTTTACAGGGCAATATAAATTCCAGATGCCTTCCTTATTTTATGTACAAGATATACATGTGATTTAATGTAAGGAGTAGCATAACAATTTGAATTTTTAAATTAATCAAAGTGATAATATGAAAGGCCTTTCAATAATATCCGACATAAGTTTATCTTCATAAAACAAAAATACTCTGCAACAGAATAAGTTACGTTTTGAAAAAGAACATTAAATGCTACTGAAAACACATTTTTTAAATTAATGCTATTCTGAGGTCAAATTGGCTAATTTAAAATACCAAACTATTATGCTTCATTTGATATCTCTGTTAAAATGCTATCGCTGTATATATATTACAGTACAGTATCATTGTTTTCCTCAAATATCTTGATTTCAATATTTTTATTTATTACATCATTTTAGCAAAAATCTAGGTACGTTTCCGTTTTGCCGGCAAGCGAGAAAGTCGCCATAATGGTACAACCGATGCCAAACGAATCTTCTCGCTGGAAACTTTTAAACCTCATTCAGATGTTCAGTTTTATGTCTAAAGCCATTTTCGGCAATTAAATCAATTGATGCAATACAGCGCTTACCCAGCCGAAACTAAAAAAAAAGTAAGTCAAGGGTAAATCTTCATTTAAGCGAATGCATTAGCGAGTAAAGCACTGCAGTTTTACATAATTTCTGAGTGCTATTCGTACGAATTGAAGTATTTCTTGCATTTAAACTGGTTCAAATTAAGATTAACTTGAAATTAGTAGATAATTACTGAGAGCATTAATTTTGTAGAGTAGCAACGTGAGATGAGATCGCTGGGGCAGTGAGATGAACGGCGAAACAGGAGTGAACCATGAATCATATAAATCTAAATAATTCTTTTTATAAATTTATTGTCTTTATTATGGCTTTTATAAAATTTTAAGCGATTTAAATTTTAGGCCTTCAAAAAGAATTCTCGGACTAAAAATTTTTAAATTTTTTGTGTGAGAATTATGTGTCGCCAATAAGTCTGCTGAGAGATTTGCGCCGGTGAAACGGAAAGTACAAAATCTATTACTTTTATAGACATATCCTTTAGTGTTTCATCCTATGAAAATATATTATATAACACACAAAGTTAAATGGGGGATCTGAAAAGGGGAAATTAATCGGAAACCTATAGATATAACAGGAAACAGCTACAACATTGGAATTTAATTAAGAAAAGTATCTTTTACTCACAAATAACTTGCTATAATAATACAAGCAAATAACCTTAACGGTTACAGATTATCGTTGAGATTTACTGAGAAAAACAGTTCTTTTCATAATTATTTGCTGTATAAACAGCAAATAAGCGTAACCATTACAGATATACGTTTGAGATTTTACATGAGAAAAACATGTTCTTTTACATAATTATTGCTGTAATATTACCCACAATAATTGGCCCATTACAGCTATATCGTTTGGGATTTACGTGAGACCAATATGTTCTATTAATAACATATGCGTGATATTACAGAAAAAGATCTGTAACCATTACAGGCAAATTCATGTAATTACAAGAAAACTTGTTTTTGTTACTCAATACCCCATTCATCCAGTTCCATGAATTTTTAGTACGTACGATTTTTTTTTACAGTGTGTTGGGCGAGCCAGTTTCCCTTAGAAAGTCCTCCACGAAGCCATCCCTCTCTTTAGACAGATAGCCTTTGTATGCTTTGCATAACTGAATAATCCAATCCATTCAAAATACTAATTACAGTTATACAGAAACCGAACCGAAATGTCGCCAAGTTTAGCGACTTTTGGTGATATCTTGTCAAATTTGGCGACAAAAATTAGTTTCCAAAACCGCAGGCTGCTTGGCGAACATTTCGCCGATTTAGCGACATAGTCATTTACTTCAACGTTAAATAGACTTGAATCTGTAATCTTATTTTTCCGGCAGACCATCGTCTCGTGCAAGCATTTCATGTTACATTACACAAAAAATACTACAGTTTCATATATAATTTCACTAGAGTTATTTACATATATGCAAAATTCGTAGCAATATTCCCCCCCCCCGCGGTTTCAGTTAAGTAACAGCGAAGTTGTTTAAAAGGATTTTGTAGCACATATTTACACAACATTATTAGAACGTCTCATACTCAAGATTCGTACGTGAATCAATTTAAACGCTACATAACCACAAAATTCAGAAAAAGCAGTAATTTATGAAATGATTACTTTTACCGTAATTGTTTCAAAATTACGAATTTCAGTATATATTAAATCTGTCCTTGCACAGTCTCCTTGGACCAGAAATGTTCATGAGCTAGATACGAAAAATGCGATGGGAGATATAAATACAAATTAAAGACAAACATGATTACTTCAGAGGATTTACTTCTTTTAACATATATAAAGCTGCATATTTCCAATATCGACATTTTCTAATATTCTGATTTATAAATCTTTTGTAACGACTCTTTTGTTCTGTTTACAATTATAGCATTTCTGAAAGATAGTATTTTCTTACCTCACCCATAATCTGTAGTTGTTGTATCAACTCTTTCATGTGCTCTTCGCCAGCCAGAGAATTCACATCAGAATGCACCAGTTCAATAAATTCGTTCCAGCACATAGCAGGAAATGAGGTGTGAGATTTTCTCCATGATGTCAGCTGGAGGCACACCGCTTCTAGAAACCCAGTACTTTTCGGAAGACCCTTGTATTTAAAAAACAGTCATTGAAAAACAAGTTCGCTACTTAGAAAGCATTGTACATTTAATGCAAAGAAAATCGCGTTTTCGTAGAAAACAACTAATAAATTTGCAAATTACAACAGCTTTCTTTAATGCAGGCAGGTTATTTATTCTAGTTTGTAGCTTTCTAGCATATTCGCTGAGGAGATTTGAAAAGGAACGATGTTGGGCCTGGAGAAAGAGAGTCATTGAGGGACAGGGGGTCAATAAGAACGCAATTAAAAATTTTGTTTCCCCAAAAATTTTTAAATGAATATTTAAATATTTTACTTGAATATATAAACACTATAGTCATTTAATCGTTTAAAATAACAAAACATGTCAATCGTTCTTCTTCCATGTTGGTTCAAGTTCTATTTATATAAGATGTGTTTATTTTTCTCAAGGAAAGATATTAAATGAAATTACACCTATCAGCCTTAAATTCTTAAAACAAGTAAACAGGCCTATGCTTTCGATAATGTACAGCACGAGCAAATAGCTCTTTGAACTTGTCTTAAGTTCTTGAAATTTTAGCTCGAAGTGAATTTTTGTCAGTTCGTTACTGTGATTATAAATAACAATATCTCTGATTATAAATAACTTTTTCGTGAATTTTCTAATTTGTTAACGAGCTGTAATTAATAATTCGATTCAAAGCAAATGGAATACCTAGTACCAGTTTGATTGGAAAGCAAAATAGAATTTAAATAGCCAGCTTCAAATAGGGAAAAATATATGGTAGCAAATGTTCCCTTATTAATATAATTTTCTTCATATTCCTCTTGCGTTATATGATTAGGTACATCATCGAATTTCGTTTCACATTCATCAAAGCTGTTACTCTGATTCATAAATACATAATCATCTTCCATTTCATCTAGAATGTTAAATACAATACCGCATTTTTTAAATGACTTTTAAATTATAGTGGGTTTAATGTTATTCCATGCTTTTATCCCTTCACACACTGTTTCTAGACTGGAATGACGCATTTGGCCTCCTTTTGTAAATATGTTTTCACCTTTTAACATCCACGTAATCCCATTATCGTTTAAAATTTTCTTTGAATTCTAAAAGCTGGCTTTAATTCGGCTGGAATAGCTGCAATGTCTTTATTACACTCTTTAAACGATGCCTTTTTTTAATCCGCTGAATGAGATCTGAACATAAGGCTTTCTGGATTCTTTAAGTCAACAGGACGCTTTTGAAAAACATTTCTTATCCACAATTCCGCACCGTTTTCGCCCATCCGTCCTTTCTCATTGAACATGATGAAAACACCATCTGGGAAATTACATTTTGGTATCGTCTTTCCTTTAAAAATAATCATGATTTTTAATTTTATACCGTCCGCCAAGGAGCAATTTCCAATATGTGTGGAGTTTTTTTCCAATATGTGACAGCAAATGTTTTTTTTTTTTTTTTTTTATACCAGGTCAAAAACAGGCTCTTGGAAATTTTAATTTGTTGTCCAGATCTTTTGGAAACTTTTGCGAAATTTTTGTTTTGTTCTCTTAGAACTATATTATTCCGTGACAAATTTAAAGGGCGATAATTGCTTATAAAAATTTCGATTGCCGGATCACTTTAATTATAGTCGTAAAAGCACTTAAATTTCGAATTTAAAATAGTACTTTACTTTCCGATCACACTAATAAAAACTTAATCTTGTTATAAAAACAAAACATTTGATAATTGTTTATTAAACTATATTTATCAATACTAAAAACCTTAAGGTCATTCAATTTAAAATATTCTAATTTCTTTATAAATAAAATATTATGAAATTAACTCATCACGCTGTAGCTTACATAATATTAAAAAAATTAATGTAAAATTTTAAAACATCCAAAACAATTTTTAATTTAATTAAAAAAATTTCAAATGTTCTGTTGAAGAATAACATGTTAATTGAATTTTAAGACTTTAAAATTTAAACTCTAAAAATGTAGACTTGATTCATTATGCGCAGCAAGACTATAAAGTTTTAGTCTTCAAAGTTTTTTTAACAAACTTCAGCAAAACTACAAACGATAATTGGCCAATTAAACTTGCTTGACATCTCAGTTTTTTTTTTTTTTTTTCCCGAAAATATCGTCACAGGCGGTATATAAAAGACTTTGAATTTTGGCAAAATTTTGCATGAATTGTAATTTATAGACCCTAAGACCACAAAAACTGAGATTTAAAAAGTCAGTGGTGAAATCCTGAAATTTGAGGTACATATTGCCCCTGTAAGACATTTTTCCCCGTAGCTGCCCATGACATTTTTTAAAATCTATTTTTGCATAATTTTGATGTGTATCTGTAAAAAGGGGCTTGAATGTAGTTCTTTTAGTTTGAGTCAAGGAGTTCTAAAATTTCAGTAGAAATTAAAAATTTTATAAATAAAATTTATGTCAGGCATTCTAATGATATCACCCAGTTGAACATATATATATAAAATGCGTGAAAAAGGTTTTGAAAGTGATTTAAATTCAATATTATTATTTTGCCAAAAAAGTTAAAAAGAATATAACACTGCATGCGTAAATTGTATCATGTTGTAACTGAACTAGCATAATGCTATAAAAAGATGTAACTCAGCTGAAAAATGAAAATTTACTTTTTTGAAGTTATATTTTATGCTTTAAAATTTTAAATAACATAAAAAAAACATGCTCTTTCTATGATACCAAGAACTACCCCTCCCCGCATCCATTAGATTATCTCCCCCCCCATTAATCATAAGGGCCTTTTTCCCCCCCTCTAAATGTAGGTTGTAATATACCATTTTTTCAGGAAGAAAAATCGTTCTGATACAGCTGGGAGCGATTTTTTTTTTTTTCAGTTTTCAGCTTCTTAGATCCCGTAGGGTGTTTTTTTATTTTTTATTTTTCTGTAAATAGTAGGTGGTAATATATCATTTTGCTCAGGAAGAATATCTCTACACACGTTATTTTTAACGCATAAGAAGAGCCTGGCTCTTGGATATCATTAGTAGGACTTTGATTCTCATTTGAGTTTGTCTCATATCAGATACACTCCCGTTATATATTTTGGTGAATATTTTACATAAGAAGTATGAGATACGGCAAGATCGGGTCCATCATAAGGAAGTTATTCAAGCAGAGGAAGTGCTTCATCCAGAGAAAGTTCCCTTTTAAGCATTTTCTTTCACAAGAAGATTAAGTCCGAGAGAAAGCCTTTGGCAGCCAACACTGACCAGTACACTCCGTTGAATTTCCTTGCAACTGATTTGCTTAATGGGCTTTACTAGCCGTCAGTGCTTCGTGAAAATCCTGACGATTCGGCTCAGACCACAGTATTTAATTCAACTTTCCTGAATTTCCCACTAGTTATGGAAGTTATGCTCGGCTATAGTTTTAAGTTTCATGTAACCTTAATTAAAAGATTTATTTCTAACCCTGAGTTTGTATTTACTATATTATAAGAAATGGGGGCTATGTTGGTCGTTTGTCTGTCTTCGTGATTCTAGGAATTGGCATCATAATAAGTTATAAAGAGTGTCAAATGCTATAGTGGCTATGACTATCTAGCATTAATACCATCCAATGTTCTCCATGGTACGGAAGATTTTATGACGCGAAGATCTTGTTGATGAACTAGGTGTGTGGTCACCCGAATCAGTCCTGAATGGATGAGGACATTGAAAATATTCGGCAGTTGTAGAAACCTCCTCACCTGTCTCTTCTAATGATAGTTGACGAGTTTCACGTCCGTAAAAGCACTGCTCTCAAAACTTTCGTGGAAAATTCTGAAGAAAAATTTGTTCTCATTTCGACCTTCTCGTATTGACAAAAAAAGAAAGATACGTAAAAAATGTTAAATATTTCCAACTAAATGTCAAACTAATTAATAATACAGTATTCTTAATAGAATGATTTAGATATGAGCCAGTTTCCATTACAAAGTCCTCTCCGAAATCATTCCTCCTCTTAGGCAGATAGCACTCGAGTATTTAGTCATAACTAAATAAACCAAATCAAACGAAACCTTAACAGAATGTTTTTAATCTTTAAAACTAAACTGCGGTGAAGCTTACATTTGAAAATTTTCCTGATAAGTAGTTTATATATATATACAATAACAGTCTACACCTGATTTACCGCATAATATCAGGAATAATATCGATTGAAAATCCCGCTAAATCCTCAAACAGTTAAAAAAAAAGTGTTAGAAAAAAGACTAGCGTACGGGTTCGTAAATAGATTGAATGCACAATTCCAATGAAAGGTTAATAAAATGTATTCTTATCAAAAGAAATATAGCAAAACGCTTGATTTTTCCTCAGAGATATTCGTACAACATCACAATATTACGCAATATAATCAGTAGCTATCCTTGAAACAACTAAAACGTAATTCACAGCACAGAGGAAGCTACTCCGATCAACAATAATAACAGCAGCTAACTAAACAACAACTGAACTGAGATGTTCTCTCTTTGGCTTTCTATGGCTCTGTAAAACGGTAGCGCGAGATAGTTCTTGCAATATCTGGAAGGTTAAAAAAAAAGAGTAGAATTACGGTTACAACTAACATAGTAGCCAATTACATTTATTCAAATTAGATGTAAATTACCGAGATAAACTTTTATTCAAAGTTAAATGCACGTGCTCTTGTATTTTTTTTACTTTTTCCGGCGTAGCTTTCTCTTAAAATATTGTTACGTTTTCCTTCTAACACCAGTTGTTACGTTATTTTCTTCCTTCACGTTCGTACGGGATTCGTGGGGATTTGGAGTGAATAACAACGACACTTGATGAAGTATCGAAACGTACTTTACTTAGCCAATATTAATCAGGACAGCTCCAAAGTCACGTTTTGCAGTCGTCGAAGATCTACTATACACTCGCTGGAACCATCAGCGACACAGCCTTCACACTGTCCGGCGATAACGGTGGAGACAGCTTCACTGCAAAGCACCAGACTACAGCTCCCGACTCTGCTCGATCGTTCTCGGAACTCCACGTACTCTCGAGATTCTCCACGCTACAACTCGCGATGCACTCGACGACACAGAGTACAGCTCCCGACTCTTCGGTTCAGTCGTTCCCGGAGCTTAACACACTCTATCGACGATGCACCTAACCGCGATACACTAAAAGACTCTTCGATGCACTCGACGAGCCACTCGGCTCTCACTACCCGGCTGTCAACTCGATTGACTCCGCACGGACTGACTAACTCGAGACAATAACTATCTCGCACTCTCGAGGCACACTCACTCGCACTCTAGATGAGGCACTAACTGACTGCGAACCAGCAGGGTTTATTTAGCTTTCGGCTTGTGTTTGAGAACATTCTGGGCTGAACCGGTAAAAATTCGTTCCAGAAGGTTCTCCATCCGCCCATGGCATATCGCCAGTTTTGTCGCCAAATATCACCAAATGGGCTATTTCTCACCAAATGTGGCAACCCTGTCTTTCTTTGCCATTTTACGCAACCCTAAACTTGCTTTGCGGGGAAGCTTCTTACCGCGCCTGTACATTTCATAACAGTATTTATAGGGTGTAGACTACTCCAGATTTCTTTAATAGATTATTAATAAATTTTAAAGGAATTTCGTTTTCCTTTAAAATTTTGATGAGAATTAGAATTTCTTCTTTTTGTGTTTCTATTTCAGTGTAAATGTTTTTAATTCTGCTAATTTGCTTAATGATAGTATTTGCAATAACGATTTTAGATATGATGGAGTTCCAATTAATAAGTTTATTAGTAGAAAAATTAAAATCTTTTCTTTTACTAAAAATTTTATGGCAACCCTAAAACTGCTTTGCGGAGAAGCTATCTTACCGCGCCTGGACATTTCGTAACAATATGTCTCGTGTTGCATTGCACGGAGAAATAAAAAAATTTTAATTCTACTAAAAATATCTAACTAAATACAAAATTCGTAACAATATATTACAATTAACAGAAAAATACTTTTAATTTACCTGAACTTTCAAAGAGTTTAATATTAAGAATAAATTCATTTCTTTACGTAAATTAAATCAGTATGTCAATACAAAAAGAGTACATTTCGAATGATGGAAGAATAAACCTCTTAGAAATGAAGAAACTAACTATAAAAGCATTCAAGTTTTTACAAGGGGAACCTAAATATTGTCAGAGTTCAAATTCGCGTAGGAAATTTGCTACTATTTTTCCCGGCAGAATTTATCTGGTAGACATCATTTGCTATCACTAGTGATATCCCAGGCATTTTTCTTATCCTTTTCATATTTACTCTAGGAAATTTTGTTTTATACTGATGATATGTGACAGTAATTTTTATATAGTTTCGCAATATACAAATTAACATTTTTAAAGTAAGGTTGGGTTTTTTAAGTAACTCAATAGGGAGTTGGCTGTAAAATGAATAGTGTCCATTCACCTGGGTGACTTTTTCCTTGTTGAAGGCCACGTAGCTCTTGAGGGCTTTCATTGCAGGTGAACCAACTACATGCGCATCTAAAACAAAAACTGTCTCGTGTAGATCCACCATCTGTCCGAACTTCTGTCGAGTTGTTTGCAAAATGGATGTCGCTTCGCAACTTACATATTCGCCAGTAGCTGCCACACGATGGCAAGAGGCAGTATCAGCATGGGTTGCTACCAAAGCTACTCGAGCAGGTTTCCCGCTTTTTCCACAATAACCTAAAACAGAAAGCTTCAGTTTGCTATTGATAGAGTATTGTTTTTTAAGTTCAGTTAAAAATTTCTTAAGGTAGCAATACTATATTTAAAATTTAAGCTATAATTTGTATTATAAGAATGGACGGGGTTCTGTGATTTTTGTAATAGAATGATTAATGATGGATGAGGAACCAATGAATTATTTCTAAGGTCAAATGCATATTCATTACAAAAGTCGAGAGAAAATGGTAGTGAAATTCCCTTTGGTGGATCAGATGCTTGTATTTCAGAAAATAATTCTATACATTATCTGACACAATAGCTTCTGCTTCTGATTACTATTTCTAAACTTTTTTCATAAAAATATTACAGATTATAAAATGCCTTCTACGCTATTGGAATTGGTCAGTATCTAGATATTTATATTTAAGAATTTATTTCATTAGTAGACAAAGAAACCATTTTGATATGATTTAATATGCAGTCTGTCTTTTGTAAACTGCAACACGTGCAATTATTCGTCTACGGAAAGGATTAAGAGAGAGTCAAAGCATACACTATATGTATATATATCGATATTGGTGATTTTATGGAAGGAGACTAATTTCCCTTGAAAATTCTGGCTCTTTCTATGACATCAAAAATAATTAATCTTACACTTTAATACTTTCTATTTTTCTTTTATTTTTAATATTTCAGTTTTATTATTTTCCACATTTTGCTTTCTACAGTTTTACAGCACTTGCCAAGATTTAACTTTCAAAAATCTCCCATTACCTTAGCATTTTCTCTTAATTACCTAGGAGATTATCAAAATCAATATTAATGATTATATATATAATAAATAAATACAAACTAAAAAACGGTTCCAGACCTAATGGAATTGTGCGCTTATAGCAGCGATAAGTGAGGGATAATGCAAAATAAAATAAAAGATGCATTTAAAATTCATCGCATATTCGCATTTAAAATTCATCACATATTCGCATTTAAAATTCATCACATATTTGATTCGGACTCAATCACATGCACAAATTAAAAAAACCAGAAGCACGGTGACAAACTGCAAGATGTAAGTAATAAATTCTCTAAGTATCTCGATCGTTAGAGCATAGCTGCTTAGATACATAAGATGAAATTTACATACAGACGTAGCTCAAGACAAAACATAATTTTATTACTGGACACATAATTCTTGCGATACATATTCTCAATCACCCATTACTCATTTATTCCAACTCCTTTTCACCTCATTGACTTATTCGGTGCAAACACATGAGATTTATAGGGATATACAATTAATTGCACCGGGTGGTGGTGGGGACAATCCTAAAAAAACATAATTTATTTTTAACCTTTTCCTTGCCAATAAGTGACTAGAGATCATGGGGTAGTGCTCTAAAACAATCAATCATAGTACTACCCTGTAAACTCCTTTTGTCACAGGGTCAAATCCCGGTTTCATCCACTAAATAAAGAATCCTGAAACACTTATCCATTAGCCTCTGCGTACTCCGCCTTTGAACTTGCACCGCCTTCCCTATCCGCCTGCGCGCACCGCCTGCAAATTTGAGATCATGGCGGTGAACTGTCACTTTCCTACTATTAAAGATAAATAATCTATAGAATATATACAATATATGTTTAAATGAGAAACAAACTGACTTTTCTCAAGAACATAGGCTTTAAGTTTCATTATGTCTCGCCATGTTGTTCATGAACTCCCTCATATCTTAAACATACAAAACGGCACAAAAATGTAATTTAAAAGTATTAGAAAAAATATTATATAATACCTAAACTAAATCTATAGACCAATTTTTTAAAAATTTATAAGTTCGTTTTCTTTCAGAATGGAAGTTCTTCAAATTACTTTCCAAATATCATAAACAGTCTTTTGGAATAATTTGGAATGACCTAAATTTGAAATCCTAAATTTTTTCAAGAAAAAATTGTAAAAGTTCACAGTTCTTGAAGACCTTTGCTTGACTAAATGTAATTTTCACGGTCCTTCTCCTGCAAATCTTTTGTAAAGACTGTTGTATTGCTTGCTTGTGTCGAATGGAAAGACAGTGCGAAAGTGACAGTGCGCTTTTACTCTGCATCAGATAAAAGAACGTCTGAAACAACAAAAGGATGATAAGAAGAATCGAGATGGTAGAATGGGATATTTCACTTAACCACCATCAGTCGGCGAAGAAAGATGTAATGAATGAAAATAGACAAGCAATGTGAAAAAAAGTTGGATCAGTAAGGTAGTACGTACTTCAAATAAACACAGTGTTAGGTAAGAATATCCGAAGGATATTTGTGTTTTTCTCCAGGAAAAGGTGAGCATCGCAAAGAACTCATACAGCTGTTTGGATGTAATAGTGCAGTAAGGAAAAAAATTGTTGAACGTTTTTTGATATAATTTTGTATGGTATCAATTTGAAGATCTCTGTGAATATATGAATTTGGGACGAACCAGGGTGCATTAATAATTTCACGAAGGGTTCTATTTTGAATAACTTGGATCTTTTTTATGTAGGTTTTAGCGGCTTGTCCCCATACCGGACTGGCGTAAAGTAAGTCTAAGAATGGACTTGTATAAAACAAGTTTACTGTTGATAGTCAAGATTCGCTATGTCTGCCGAGAAGAGAATGCATAGTAGCTATTGAGATATTGAATTTCCTGGCAGTTTCGTGTAAATGTTGCCGAAAAGTGAGTTTTTTGTCAAGTGTGTTTAACATAAAACCAAAATTTTCTTTTACACATCCATGACATTCTATTAAAAATAACTGTTATTTTCCAATTATAAAACAATCTACATTTTTAATTGTAAAGTAATGTAAAATATATTTTAGGAAAACCTAAATATAGAAAAGTAACAAAATAAACTTTGATAAGAAGTTTGGGCAGTTCCTCTGCAAGCGAATAAGCGAATAACTGAGATGCTTAAATACAACTGAACATAAAAAGCTCCGTTTCTCGTACAAGGTAAACAGGCTTTTAGCATTGCATAAATATATCAAGGTTATTAATTACGGAATATGGCAATAAATATTCTTCAGTGTTACATAATTGAAATATAAATATAGATATACAAAGATTAAAATTCAGTTTAAGATAATAACTTGTATATTCAAGTCAAGTATTACAAATTTAACGAATTAAAATTTTGCATTACATTACAATAATAATGTAAAAAATTAATTTGTGTAGTGTGTGTATGTGTGGTAGCACTTTGTGCTATTGTGCTAAACTACGGCCAGAGAAATGTGACTAGTAAAGCACTGAACCAGTTCGCAGGCTCAGTTGATTCTTCTAAAAGAATTAATTTCAATATTGGAAGCATACCTAAGGGGCAACGCGTGTGTGTCATCACTGCTCGTATCCTCCCTAAGAAATAACGCAAGGAATGATAAACATAGTGTAAACACATAGTGTAAACGCCGGATACAGCAAAATGTACTTTCATCTTCTAAGAATCTGTTTTATCTGTTTCAGAAGTAAATTCAGAATTTTGTAAAGGCCTGAAAAAGGAGGAGACAGTTTTCTGGTGTTAGGATATTGAAATCCGTTATGCATTACTAAATCCCCAGGTTTTAAATGACTTGCTTTAAAATTGGTGTCATATCTTTACTTGTTTACATTATGATAATCATCAGACCTGATCTAAGCAATTTTTTTTTTCTTCTTCTTCTGAGCTTCTTGAGAATTGGAGGATATAGATCTTCATTTTCGGTTAATGGATCATATGGTAATTTTCCATACATTAATTAAGATGGTGAGAATTTTGTTACAGAATGTGGTATATTATTTGTAATTCAATGCTGAATATTGTGAATTTGGATATCTCAATGGTGGGAGCTGAACGGTGTCCGCCGATAACATCGCAGCAAAAACATTGCGGTCGAAAACGTCGTGCTATAAAACATAATCACGGGAGAAAACATCGCAAAGAGAAATCATCGAAGTTCTAAAGCATCGTGGTACAAAATATCATCGTAGAAAATAAAGCGGTTCAAAAACTTCGCAGTTTAAAAACATCGTCGTCGCAAATATCGTGGTAATAAATAAAGTATCTACAAAATCATCGCATCACGATAACATCGCAGACAACGCTTTTTTTCAGGCTTTAATAACTGTAAATGGATATTCCCATAATGATTTGTGAGAGCAAGATAGAGAGAAGGATAATTTTTACTTTCATATTTTCATTAACTAATAAATTTTTGCCATTTTCTCCGCGATGTTTGTTTTCGTCGGCGTTGTTCTTGCCGCGATGTTTTCGGCTGTAATCGAGCTGAACATTTCTCCAGATCGGATTTGAGGCGAAGAAGATAAAGGGTAGAATGGTCTTGGAGAATTATATCTTAGATAATTAAAATATGGACGAGGCTTCTGGCTAGAGACAGTACATCTACTTACATTTCTGGTATTACTTTCGTGCTAGGGAAATCCAATTGTGAAGCAAGTTTATAGAGACAGTAACATACGATACTGCTCTGATAATTGTTGTGTTAACTACTCAATAAGAATTTTGTCACTTGAATGTAATGCAGAACCTAATTTAAATTTTCGATAGAAATATTATCAATTTTATATTGATACTTAGCAATTTATATATCAATAGCTAATCTTATTAATTTTTGACGGAAATACTTATCAAAATTGTTGTATGTAACTGCGACAAAATTATCAAATTTAATATTTTTTTAACTGGAAAAGTAAACTAAACATTTTTCTTTCAATAATTTCCAGTCCTCAATTTCGACACTTCCGTGGATACAAAATGACAAGGCTTTTTAGAAAATCTAAGAATATAGTTAATTTTTCATTTTCATAAATACTCTTTGCATTTCAGCATTTTTCAAAAAACATAAAATATTTGTCTACAGGAATATCTTTGGTTGGATCAATTGTTGTTCCTTATGCAAATCGATATGACACCTTATCTGGCATTTGAATCTCTTTCCTTATTATCTTTTGGTACTGCAATACCAGAGACTGAATTAATGTATTTTTATTTAAGTTTATGTTAAATTCTCAATAACTTTATGTTAAAATTTCAATTTAATTCATCACGCACCAGAATGTGTGGATGTCAATTAAATAACCTTCCCTTTGATTTGAAAACTTGCCTTCGTAGCTTCTCTTAAGTTGATCAATTTTTCTCACCCAGAGGTTCCTGCGGTGGTATCCTCGAGAGCAGAAATGCTAACCAGAAGTGGACTTGTTGAAGTTGGACTTCATATGAGTCATTAAGTCGGAAGAACACGAGATGAATGCAGTTCGTGTTGCCTATGAAGTTGTCGTACATCATGTAGTAAGGCTCGTGACCTGAAAACTCCCAAATGCTAATTTCTCCGATACCTTAAAAAGTGAAAATTAAGACGGGCATTAGGCGAAATAAAATCTAAATCAGAAACACATTAATATAATTAAATACAAAGGGAATTGTTTTTAGATGCTGTTTTTTTACATATAATTTACTTAATTTTATTCCATTCCCGAAATTATTCCGAAATCTCAAAACATTGTAAAACATTTTCGAGAATATTAAAAGCACCCCCAATACTATAAATGTACAGAATTTACTAGTTTATCAGTTATAATATTAATTTTTTAATTATAAAAATTACCTACATTACCAACACTGTATACGTATAGTTTTCGCAACCTTCTTGCATATCTGGTTTTGGGATTTTTTTTCCCGGGGAGTTGGGGAAAGAGGGCAAGAATTTGTTTGCTTCCCACCTTCTTCAACGTGGTCTTAAGGTACGACATAGTCATTCAGTCATTTTCTTCAAACCAGGTTACTGAGATGCAAATGTTTGGCTTGATCTGGAACTCTTCTCACTTTAAATACGTGTTTCCTTGAATAATACGGGATCAATCTAACGTCCACGTCTTTCGCGTCCTTGTATTCTCACCCTCCTCTGCGGAAGTAACTTTCTTCTCTGGGCTTCCTCAAGCCACTTGAGCCCATCAGCAGCTCAGCGGTAAGCCAGTAAATATTGATTTCGGTTCCAGGCGTATTGGCTGGCTGCATGGGCGTTTTCATGGTCTTTCCCTTGTGCAACATGTATACGAGCCAGTTACGCTTAGAAAACACTCCACTAAGGCCTGTGTTGTTCTTGTTGCTGAGATTAATCTCGCTTGTCTGATATCAGAGCAAGCTCGCGAAATTCATCGTGGCAAGGAGGCAAAATTGCACTTATTGTTGGCAATGTCTTGGGCACCACACAGATGACAGTAAGATTTTTCTCAGTCTCCAAGTTTGAAGGACAGTACCCCGGGAGGGGGACGAGTCCGAACGTCTTCTACCCCCTCTTTCCCTACCAACAACTTCTAAAGAGGGCTTCCGGTTCGCCGCATATTTAAAGTTCCCCCATGCCGCACAGACACTATAAATTTCCAAGCATCCGTGCCTTCTCCGGAATTCGAAACCAGACGCTTCGATACGGCAGTTAAATCACTAACCACTATCCTGGTTGGCACTCATGAAAGCCTACCTCCCCTAAACGTGATTTAGCGTGATCCTTAGCGTGATTTTCCATAAGCAAATAAACGAAACCAAACCTTAAGTTCTTAGTCAAGAAGGTCTTAAAGTGCTTCAGTAAGAATATGTATTAAAAAAGTATATTTATGTTAAAGGCTGCTCTGTTCGTTTAGATTTTTTTTTTAATTTTTCGTTTTTCGCATACGTATATGGCATTTTTGCATAACACTTTTTAAAAAAATTAATGTGCGGTTAAAATAGAAGAGATCTATAGCTGCGTTTAATGCCCAGCTAGCGTATAGTTCGTAAATGGCGTCGCATTGGAAACAGCCTAACCTTTGTCTACTGGCCTTAATTCTATGAATATGTTTCCTCGTAATCTGCAAATGGATTACTAACACTACTAGTAACTTATATAAAGTGCTAGAATTAGATTTATTAAGAGTAAATATTTTTATTTTGTATACCTTTATTACCATGTTTTCCATTTTTAATGTCAGATAAATCTCTATTAAGGCTATTTTTAAGCCTTAATATAAGAATATATCTAGAATATATCTTTATTATCAGTAGATGTAAACAAGCTTGCTCGTTGCTCGGAATATAAGCAGTCTAGGTATAAGGTAGGCTTATATTGGAACTTATCGTCTGAAAGCTGTGAGTGAATAAACTCTTTACGGACGATAACTATATAAATTCAGAATTAATTACAGTTGAAAACAGGAATATCTATCCAACAATAATAATTTATTTAAAACCAAAAATCGTAAAATTTACATATTCAAAGCCCATTTTTACTAACTTACGCTTGAGTGGAACAAATATTAAAAACTTCAGTAACAAAACACTAAATAACTTTAGTAAAAAAAATATATACAAAGTAATACATTTGTGGTGTTGCGCGGCCCCAACCTACACGCAACAATTATAGTGACTGCTATGAACTGGAAAGTACACAAAACTCTTAAGAAGGGTTTAACTCCCTTTTTATTCTACTTTAAAAGTTACAGATGCGTGCACTTGACGCTCACAAACTACGCCGACCCGGCGGTAAAATAAAAATAAGAAACTAAAAATGAATAATAACAAGTTACTACCTACGAGGCTCTCTAAACGTAACTAACCTAACCGCGTTCTAAGATACAGCTGAGATTTCAGCAAACTTTCTGAATAAAAAATTGAAAGATTCAACTATCTGCCAAAGCAAGCACACAGGCCGAAACGCGCGGTTCTTCAATTTCTACCTAGCCACCTTCACGCTCGTGAAGCAAGAAAGCACAGTTTCGAAATCGTTCCCTTCTATTTAACTCAAATTACTTCCGCTGACAATTTGAATACTTTGCGCGTTATACTAAAATTTACATACTCTGGCATTGGCAATTCCAGGGGAAAGTAAGGCTTGACAGGAAAGATAGTTTAAACTTAAAATAAATGTTAGTTAAAATAAATATAAACCCTACACATTACTAAATAACTTCTTAAATAGAAATCTTTCACAAGTATGGTGCATTTTTCTTTAAAATTTATTTGCGTATTTATATGAGAAAAAGTTGCCATTAAACTTACGGTATTAAATTTCATAAAAATCGAAATTTTATTTGTTTACATCCAAAAACGAGCGTAATTTACAGACATACGCAGTTAATGCAATTATAGCATTTTCCATTACCTGAATAACATATATTGTATCAACATTTTTTTGGAATCAGGGCTATGTTGTTTAACTATCATTTAATGGTTGACGCTATATGCAATTTAATGAAAATAAATCTAAGTTAACCCATAAGCTATACTACCCATGAGCCCATGAGCGATGAACATCTTTGTGGGTCTAAGTTGACCCATGAACCCATAAGCGAGTTGATGCTATCTGCAATTTAATGAAAATAAAACCATGTGAAAGTTGTACACTTTTCAGAAGCTTTGTGAAATATTGCCGAGAATTGAAAAACATGTAATAAATTCTAAAAACTAAAAAAAGAAAGAAACAAAAAGAAAATAAAACTAATTGTTTTTACCTGAAATGCTTACTTGCTGAACATCTATTCCTTTAGTGTATGTTTCAAAGTTGGTATCAAAATTTAACTCCGATTCTTTCGGACCAGAGCTGTTGAGTTCTATACTAGATTTAGCATAGTCACCTGAAACTGTAATGTTTATCTGGTAACTTATTAAGTATTTAGTTTATCCGAAAATTATCACTTTCTGTAACATAAAGGATATTATACTATAATAAATGTACAAACCATGTCATAAAGAAAGATCATCTAAAATCTATTTAAAGATCATTTAAACTTCTTTTTCAGAATGATTAAACAATAATGAATTGTGATCATCTGGAAAGGCGGGGAGTTTTGAGAGATACCCTTTGATTCCAAAAATTCGTGAGAAGGCTTTTCCACCATTCTGATCTGCGAGGTATTAAAAACTCTGAAAACGCTAATTTGGCATTAAAATTTTTATCTACGAATTGGTTGTTTGAAAACCCGTTCATCTGGCGGGGAACACTGAAAACATACATATAAATATTTTTCAGCATCATGTAAAACTGATGTTGCAATATTCACTCGTTCAGAGGTCGTTAAAAACGTAACGCGTTCAGTGGCTTCGAAAAAATGCGACAAAATTTGGCAACGTATTTGCACTTCCTCTTTGTCAAAATTACCACTTTCATTTGACGTTGACGATGAAAACATAGGATACTTTATGGTTAAAAACTGAAGTCAAACTAACTCACTAAAATATATGGTCATATAACGAATAGCAGATGATCGATAAACGTTCCTCTTAATAACCGTAACTCATTATATCAGTGAAAAGTTAGATCTTTGTCTAAACCTTTCAATAAAGTTAATAATAATATCTGTCTTAATAATTGTTACATCCTAGAATTTCGTAAGGTATTTAAAGACTTACGTTTTTTACTTCTGGTGGCTTTGGGTGACATAGATCCTACCGAGCGCCTGAACCACGATGTGAAGTATCCACACTTGATGCTCTCAACAAATGTGCTTTTTCCAACTCCACTATGTCCGAAGAGTTTGATTTTAATCTTCGGAATCGGACGAGTAGACGGAATAAGTTGAGATATGTACTCCTCTTTCAGATGTACCTATGAAAATATTCTGAATTCAGTTTTCAAGCAAACACTAAATGGAAACATAAAGCTTACAGGTATTAATTATTATAATTCATATCTTGCTGTTTTTAAATTTTGTTGCCGTATAAGAAATCTGTTTCCGATGTTCTAAAACAGATACCTACTTGAACGCATTTTTTTGATCAAGCTCTGAAATCTCTGAGACATTTTCATAAAATTTACGTTAATAAAAATATAACATCACCAAAATGTAATTTTGACTATTTGGATTTTGGTGCGTGCGATTGATATTACCGAAATTACTGGATAAAAATAATATCAAAAAGTGGATTTTGATGAAGTATCATCCAGATTCATTTTCATCTCGTTTAAATGTAAGTTCAAGTATTGTGCTTAGGAACTGTATTAACGATGCTTAATCTGTGATCCATAGTGTCAGAGTATATACCATTCAAAAACTGAAAAAAAAATAAGACTGATTACATTGAAAATAAAATAAATGGATCAGTTTTCAGCTATTATAATAATTACTTTAAATTCTACTAAGTTCATTTTACGTTCAACATTGTTCATAATTCAAGTCACATATATTCGCTCAGATCAGAAGATTTTGCAAATGTAAAGTTCGTGTAAGGAAGTTTAAAAGCTACCCAATTTTAACTGCAGTTCAACGTCTACCGAATTTTAACTGCAGTTCACGTCTTTGCAGCGTGAAGAATTGCAATGTTGTTGCTTTAATTGCTAGCACTGATACAGCTGTTTGTGTTGGAAAGAAAAATATTATTAATCTGAGGCAGCGTGATGTCCCGATGCAATTTAAGTTTGATTGGTAAGCAGACTCTTTCGTAGTTCGTTAGCTAATGATAAAAGCCAATTATCTTGTTTTGAGACAATATATTTGTATATTTGTAAGGCAGGCCGCCTAAGGGGGAAATGTTACAATTGAAAAGTATACATCCTTTAAGTTTCTATTTTTCCTCTTTAGTTTCTTATTACTACGTTACCACAAGTAATACTCAAGTGAAAACCCTTTTTTTTTTATTTAATTTGCATACTTCTTACTTTAAACAAGACAAATCGTTGACATTTGTTGCAATAACTAAAAAATCAATCAAGTGACAGAAACTTTATAAAGCTAAGTATTAAGTTATATTGTTATGCATCAAAATATTTTATTTCAGTACCAAAACGAAATAACACACTTAAACTGTACTCACATTCCTCAAATTATTTAAAAGATCAGCCATCTTGTTATAGCCTTGAGCCAAAGCAGTAATTTCCGCTGTAATACCATCCTGAAATGAGGAAAATAAGAACTGTCAGTTAAAATCTGATGAGCCTATTAGATGAGAAATATGAATGTGTAATTTTTTTTTTTTTTTTTTTTTTTTTAATGTTTATGCTGTTTAACGCTTTTCGAAACAAATATCAGGACAATAAAAATATTTTTTCAAAATCTTATACTAAAACATCTTTACTATGCCTTACAGAAATTTCATTATTGTTGTTGTTTCTAATCCTTCTGATCTAAACCTACACCTAGATCTACCAGGTTAACGAATATTATCTTGGCCAAAAGGCAAGGGATCGTGGCCAAAAGCCTTGAGTACCGGTATAGGTGATAGTATGAATTTGCCCAGCTTAATTCCATGTTTAAAGAACAATCCTCTTCCCCACAGAATAACTCCGAGTGTCTTCCATTCCTCATCTAGGGCTCCCCAGCGGCTGAGCGGTAAAGTCGCTGAACACTGGTAGTTCGGTCCGAGATTCGGATCTCGCGAACTGGTTTGCTGCATGGGCGTTTTCGTGGTTTTCCCCATGTGTAACGTGTATACAAATCACATCCCGTTAGAAAGTCCTCCACGAAGGCATCTCTCCTCTTAGACAGATAACCCTCGAGACTTTGCAGTAATCATATAAATCAATCCATGCTTCTTCTCTTACCATCAAGTTCTCGAAATGTATTTCAGTTCAATAGTATTTTAAATGTTAGTATGATGCAAAGTCACTATACACTTACAAGCATTTATGCCTTCTCCGGAAGTCAAACCCGCTCCCAAAGTTATTTCAGCTGGCCAAACAGGCGGCTGAAATTTCATTCTATTACCAAGCAATCATGCTTCGCATAATGAGCGTAATCCGATCCGCGATGGTGTTCGTTATAAGAGACGTTGTTTCCCATAGGTTACTACGAGAATACTTGTAATGTGTTCTCTTCCTTTTTGTTATTTTTGAGATTTTGCCCTTGGCTCAAAAATATTTTGTTAAATAATACTGTTGCGTGCGTACGGGTTCGTTATGAAATGAATGCACAAGTCCGATGAAAAATGAACAAAAATTTATTATTATCACAACAAAAATGCTTAAATTTTCTCAAATTATCATGCAGTATTACAATATCTCACAGTAGTTTTCTTTTAACTACTCAGATGTCCAATAGAACGTAATTGAAAACAGCTAAAGAACGCTAATCCGCGAATTCGCTACAATCAACAAGAGCAGTTTTCTAAACAACAAGAAACTAAGCAACTACTACAAACTGAGATGTTTTCCTCCTTTTATAAGATTTAAAAATCACGCGCTAGAATTTTCCAGTACTTTCTCGAAATCAAAAAGAGATATTTATTTATTTAATGCACGCGCTCTTGTATTTTCAATTTTCCGGCTTAGCTTTCTTTTAATGTTCGTCACGCGCTGCACTGCGCGAGAAATAAAACCATTTAATTTATACTTGAACTAACATTAGCTTTTTAAATACCAAATTCGTAACACTGCCCCCTTTCCAAGGACTGCACGTCCCGGGCAGTACAATCCCTGGACAGGAAGCTAAACTTACAACTGTGGCATAAATGCAACTGAGGCATAAACATTACATTACAATATCAAACAATATAAACAATAAATGCAATAACTAACTTAAACAAATCAAATGCTATCAAATACTAAATACAAAACAAATGCTAAATACAAATCAAATACTAAATGCAAATCAAATCAAATACACATTTATAAACAAAAAGGACCATGGTCTGATACTATTTACAATTATTTACATTACGTACTATGGCCATAGTAATAAGCTAACCTGTCATAATGAACGACTTTAGGTTTAGAGTTCGAAGACTTACGAATCCGAACCACGACGTCATTCAGCCTGTTTAGGATTGTGTACGGCCCATCCCAAGGTGACTGTAATTTCGGACAAAGTCCTTTCCGTCGAGTCGGATTCCACAACCACACCTTGTCTCCTTCGTGGAATTGATGTTCAGTAGCTCTTGTGTCGTATCGGGTCTTCATCTTCTCCGTCGCCAAGTTGACTCGCTCTCGTGCAAAATTGTGCATCACTTCAAACCGGGACTGGAGATCTTGAATATATTCCTCAGACGATGAAGGAGCATCTGGAGGGCGGCCAAACAATAGATCACAAGGCAGACGAAGGTCACGACCGAAGAGCATCTGTGATGGAGAATAGCCGGTAGTCTCGTGGACAGCACTGCGGTAAGCCAGTAAAAACAGCGAAAATTTCTTGTCCCAGTCCTGCTGGTTTCTGGAAACCACTAATGAGAGGATATTAAGGATGGTTCGATTGAACCTTTCTACCATGCCGTCCGACTGGGGATGTAATGGCGTCGTTTGGGTCTTGTCAATGCCGAGTAGTTTGCATAGTTCTTTGATTACTACCGAGGTAAAATTCCTTCCCTGATCGGAATGTAACTGAAGAGGCACTCCGAACCTGGAAATCCAGTGCTGTATCATCACCTCAGCTACTGTAACAGCCTCTTGATCAGGAATAGGATACGCTTCAGGCCACTTGGTGAAGTAATCAACGACAGCGAGTACATATTTGTTGCCATCAGCAGTTCGTGGCAGAGGTCCCAGGATGTCAAAGGCGATACGTTCAAAAGGCGCCCCTACGTTGTAACGTTGCAGCTTGCCTCGGCTGCGTCTCTTCGGTCCTTCCGACCTGCACAGGCAAGATCGGCACCACTTTTGCACGTCATCCTTTGCATTATTCCAGTAAAAGCGCTCATGAACTCTCTGTAAGGTCTTCATTATTCCAAAGTGACCTCCCGTAGGGCTGTTATGTAGTTCTTTAAGGACATCAGGAATGCGGGATCCTGGAAGTATCAGCTGCCATCGGAACGTCTTCCCATCATCCGATTCGAATTTCCGGTATAAGACGCCGTTTCGAATGCGAAGTGAATCCCAGTGTGCCCAATATTGTTTGGTTGTACGACTACACATAGAAATGTCCTGCCAGGTAGGTTTTCTGTTTGACGACTCCATTAAATCAATTATGGGTTTAATGTCGCGGTCTTCCAGCTGGTCTTTCCTGACTTCATCATCATTCCACGGTTCTCGATCAGCCGATGTTGATGCTGTAACTTGTCTTGCGACCGGAGTCAGCAGCTCGTATTTCGCTTCCACCCTGGAACAATATCGGCAGCTTTCATGGCAAGGTCTTCTAGACAGGGCGTCGGCGTTTCCGTGTGATGATCCCTTACGATGACGGATAGTGATGTCATATTCTTGGAGTCTCTGTATCCACCTGGCTATTTGACCCTCAGGATTCTTGAAATTTAAAAGCCAGGTCAATGATGCATAATCGGTGCGGAGCAGGAATTTTCTGCCGTATACATAGTGATGGAACTGTTCTACAGCTTTGATTATGGCGAGCAACTCTTTCCTGGTGACACAATGATTCCTCTCCGGTTTAGATAGGCACTTGCTCCAGTACGCCACTACACGTTCTTGGCCGTCTATTTCTTGGGACAAAACAGCACCGACACTTTCATTGCTCGCGTCGGTGTCCAGAATAAATGGTCGGTCGAGCTGAGGATACGTCAGGATTGGAGTAGATGTTAAAGCCTCCTTTAAGTTGTTAAATGCATCTTCGCATTCTTTTGTCTACAAGAATCTTTGCTTGCTCTCTGTCAGCTTGTGAAGGGGTCTTGCGATGGAAGAAAAGTCCTTCACGAATCTCCTATAGTAGGTGCAAAGCCCTAGGAAGCTTCTCAGCTGATGGACATTTTCGGGACGTTTCCAGGATTTAACCGCTTATACCTTTTCAGGATCCGTGCGCACACCTTCTGCAGAGATGACATGTCCCAGGTAAGTCACTTCCTTTCGGAACAATTTGCATTTAGCGGGACTCAGCTTCAGATTGGCTTCTTTCAGTTTCTGAAGCACCTTCCTAAGATTTTCTAAATGTTCTTCAAAACTCTTTCCGACGATGATGATGTCGTCCAGGTATATCAGACAGGATTCGTAAGAAAGGCCTTTCAAAACAGTCTCTATAAGACGTTCGAATGTTGCCGGCGCATTACACAGTCCAAACGGCATCACTTTGAACTGCCAAAGTCCTTGTCCCGTAGTAAATGCCGTCTTTTCTCGGTCATCAGGGTGGATTTCTACCTGCCAATACCCACTCTTTAAATCAAGTGTTGAGAACCACTTGCTTCCAGAAAGAGTGTCTAGAATGTCATCAATTCTAGGAAGAGGGTAACTGTCTTTCTTCGTAACCTCATTCAACCGGCGATAGTCAACGCAAAATCTTGTTGAGCCATATTTCTTTCTGACGAGAACGATGGGAGATGCCCATGGACTCGCTGAAGGCTCGATGACATCGCCTTCTTCCATATCTTTTAACAGTGTTCGCACCTCTTCCTGTTTAGCAAACGGTAGACGTCTTGGATGTTGCTTGATCGGGGGATGATCGCCAGTATCTATTCTATGTTGTGTCAAACTAGTTCGACCCACGTCAGAAGACGAGCGGGAGAAAACAACTTGAAGATCTTTAATGACGCGATCGGCAGCATTTTTCTCTTTATCGTTTAATTGTGCATTCTGCAATAACTCCGATGTAATGGTCTCTGAGGACACCGATTCTGGGATGTTACTCTTTTTTTCAACGCTGGTTACTGGAGTACATGTTGCAACCACTTCACCTTTCTTAATAACTCTCGACTTTTCAGTTACATTGGCGACTCTCACCGGGATAACCGTTCTGGATAGGTCGACGAGTGTTGAGGCTACTAATACTCCTTTTGGGATATTACAATTATTGGGATATTCTATGATGCCGTAGCGGAAATTTCTATTTTCGGCTATGGATCCAGGAAGTAAAATTTCTGTTCTTGCCGGTATTGTAATATAGTCTTGTGCCATGATTTTATTTACAGATTTAACTTCTTCATCATTAACGAGAAATAACGCTATGTCCTCAGATGTATAATGCAATTCGTTATTTTTAAAATCCAAGGAAAAATTGTATTTCCTTAGAAAGTCCAATCCGAGTATGCAAGAATCAGTGATCTCTGCTACATATGCCGTGTGATGGTAAGCGGCACTTCCAAACGTGATGTTAACATTTACTTTTCCGTCGATGTCGATCTTCTCACCGGACACAGTCTGGAGGGTAACGCAGGGCGGCGTCCAGATAAGTTTGTTTCCTAGTTGTTGAGCCAAATCTTTTCGGATGATGGTGACGTTGGCTCCTGTATCTATAGTCATATTGCACGGAACTCCATTAATATGTCCTATTATGAAAAGTCCATTACTGCCGCCTCTCACTGCAGAAATCTGAAGCGCTTTAAACGGGGGCTTTTCATTATCTGGCAACCTCCGCCCCGCGAGATGGCCACTAATTAGTTTCCCTGCTGTTTGTTAGAAGCGGTCTTAACATCAGTACCCTGGGGTGTTTTGCAGTTTCGTCGTATGTGTCCTTCAGCACCGCAGTTCCAGCACTTAACGGTCGGTTTCTTCTCACCAATATTCCGTCTCAAGGCGTTCAGTTGTCTAGTTAAATCGTCAAGTCGAGCGGTGACTTGATCCCCTGGCTCCTGGACTTGAGCAGCTCTGACTGGGTGGCGGTCTCGACGAGTGGCTTGCTGGGCTGCCTCAAATTTCATGGCGTACACTAGAGCACTTTTTAAATCTTTTACATCCGCCATTCGTAGAGCTTTCTGTATTTCAGTATCTCGGATGCCGTCGATAAAGTATTGCAAGGACAGGATTTCCCTTGTTTCTGTCGGGCATTCCGAAAAGGCGAGATGGGACAGCCTTTCAACATCCGTGGCGAGCTCCTGAAGTGTTTCGGTAGGCTTCTGTTGACGAGATTTTAATTGGAGCCTGCTGTAGTCTTTTAAACACTTCTCCCCAAAAGCGCAGCTCCAAGGCGCCGGACAGAGCTTCGAAATCTGACCTTTTGTTTTCGGGAAGAGTCTGAAGGATATCCGCTGGGTCTGCTCTCAAAGAAACGGCGAGATGACAGGCCTTAGTTTGGGAATCCCATCCATTCGCATCCGCCACTATAGCAAATTGTGTTTTTATACACTTGCCAGGATGTCTTCCCATCATATGTGGATAGCTTCAGAGGTGGACGAGCAGGCATTGGTAAGAACTTAAAATCATCACTCCTGCTCCCTGCCGACGCTACGAATTTCTTTAAAGTATCCATTTCTTTGGCAACTGCAGAAACTCTCTCATCAATTTGTTGTTCGATTTGGTGTTGGACGGCACAAACTCTTCCTTTAATTCGTTCATCCACAGCAGAAACTCTCCCTTCTATATGTTCTTTTACAGAAGAAACTCTTTCTTCTATTTCTTCTTTCACCGAAGAAACTCTTTCTTCAATATGTTCAACTTTATTTTCAACTGCGTTAATTCTGCCTTCCATAGCTTCGAATTTATTTTCTATTATGCAAGTAATTTTCTCTTTTCATTTCTTCTTGACCAGCCTGAACGGCTTTCATTTCGTCCTTAACGGATTCCTGGCCCAATTTCATTTCGTCCTTGACGGATTCCTGGCCCAATTTCATTTCTTCCTTAACGGATTCCTGGCCCAATTTCATTTCTGCTCTAACGGATCTAATCTCTGCTTTAACAGAGTCTTTCATCTCTTCTTTAAATGAGGCTTGGCCAGCTTCCATCTTTTCTTGGAATGCAGCAAAAGCACTAATGAGCTGTCTCAATTGTTCTTCCATCGCTCTTGTTATTGGCATTCGAACCCCACTCCTGACACCAAAAATTGTTGCGTGCGTACGGGTTCGTTATGAAATGAATGCACAAGTCCGATGAAAAATGAACAAAAATTTATTATTATCACAACAAAAATGCTTAAATTTTCTCAAATTATCATGCAGTATTACAATATCTCACAGTAGTTTTCTTTTAACTACTCAGATGTCCAATAGAACATAATTGAAAACAGCTAAAGAACGCTAATCCGCGAATTCGCTACAATCAACAAGAGCAGTTTTCTAAACAACAAGAAACTAAGCAACTACTACAAACTGAGATGTTTTCCTCCTTTTATAAGATTTAAAAATCACGCGCTAGAATTTTCCAGTACTTTCTCGAAATCAAAAAGAGATATTTATTTATTTAATGCACGCGCTCTTGTATTTTCAATTTTCCGGCTTAGCTTTCTTTTAATATTCGTCACGCGCTGCACTGCGCGAGAAATAAAACCATTTAATTTATACTTGAACTAACATTAACTTTTTAAATACCAAATTCGTAACAATACATTGAATAAAAGTTGAACGAAAACATAACTGCGTATACAAATACTTGCAAATATTTAGGCTAACAAATGAGTGCATTGCAAGCACATATGATATGTTCTTATAGTACCGCGTTTAGTTCGATTGCCTACTTTACAAGTTTTAAATGATGATATAGCAACCTTTTATGTGTTGCTTAATCTTACAATGGCAGAATGTTATCGAAAATTGGCAAAATTCTATTTCTGTTTTACATTAATAACAATAAAGTGGTCTGCTTTTATCTTAAATACTGTGGACGTAATCACACAATTAAATCATATACGACTAATGCAAGAAATAACTTTATAGTCTATGTATGGATTTGAATATTTTAAATACTAGAATCAAAACTATTAATTGAAATGGATAGATTTTTGTGCACTACAAAAAGCATCAAGGTAATCAATTTCATTTACTGAACAAAAGTGTAGACGATTATAAGGTATTTCTCCCCCGTTCTTGGCATGTCTTCATGGTGTAGTGGTCTGCACGCTAGGCGCGTATTCCAGAGGTCCGCGGTTCGATTCCAGCGGAGGCGTTGCTAAATTTTCGTTTCTTCTGCTTCCAAAAAAAAAATACCTAATGTCTCTACAGTGGGGCCCGAACGAAAAAGGGGTGTGGGAGGATGATTCTCCTTACCCAGGATTTGGTGATTGGTTCTCCTAAAAATCCCAGCCGTCCTTTAAAAGAGGGAGTATGTAAGGTATTTCTCCTGCCTTCTTGGCATGCCTTCGTAGTGTGGTGGTCTGCACGCTGGGAGCGTATTGCAGAGGTCCGCGGTTCGATTCCCGGCGAAGGCGTTGCAAATTTTTTCATTTTTCATTTCTCCTGTTTCCAAATTACCTAATGTCTCTACATTGGCGCTCGAACTAAAAGGGTGATGGGTGATGATTCTCCACGCACAGGATTTGGCGATTGAGTCCCTAAAAAATCCCAGCCGACATTTAAAAGGGGGAGTATATAAGGTATTTCTCCCGCTTTCTTAGCATGCCTTCGTGGTGTGGTGGTCTGCACGCTGGGCGCGTATTCCAGAAGTCCGAGGTTCGATTCCCGGCGAAGACGTTGCTCATTTTTCATCTTTCCTGCTCCTAAATAACCTAATGTCTCTACGCGATTTTAGAATAAAATTGAAAGAACGATATCTTCGCCTTTCCTGTAAGTTTAGTATGGGCATATTATACACATGAATACAACATGATATTACAAAATAGGGACAATATATGCAAATATTATATAAGGACCAGAGAATTTATTAGTTTGTAGACTGTCTTATTTACCTCATTCTTGAGTTCCACATCACAACCTGCCAAACACAAAAATTTTACGGAAAATGAAATTAGGAGATAAAACGTCTTGATGCAAAATCGGCTTCTATTGCATCTTAAAATGTTGAAATTAGGCTTGTTATTAACAATTAAGAAACCAGAAATATATACAGAAACTATACACATGAATAGTAATATCTAAATATATTATTTATAAATCTCTATTTCTGTTTACTCATCCTGCTTTATTCTCCCAAAAGGGTTTGGAACAATGCAATAATCACCTAATAAAATGGAGATTAAATTTGGTAGTTAATGTCTGCTTTTTTTTAAGGGAAAGAGTATTTACATATTATATATGTAAATACCTAAATATATTTAGGTATTTACATAATAATATTACATATTATATATGTAAATACCACACGATCTTACAAAATGGGTATATATATATGCAAATATGCTAAAGGAAAAGCTTACATGGATCAGAAAATGTTTCAATTTTTAGAGAAGTTTATTTACCTTATTCTTGAGTTCCACATCGCAACCTGCCAAACACAGACAGCGGACAAGTTCCGTATGACCATTCCTTGCTGCTAAATGTAGTGGATATTGCCCTGCCTAACAATAAAAGGTAATAATTAGATTTACTATAAAATGCTGAAAACTGCCTTCACACGAGATAAAATTGATATCATGCTGCCATGCAAGATGAAGCAGAAAAGGTCATCATACGAAATTAAACAAAAATCATGTTATAGTGATATTTAAACACTGTAAACTATCTAGCTATCATGCGAGATAACGCAAAAATTCAGAAACATACAAAATATAAAAGAAATTTTGGCACACAAAGATGATTTTACAATAATGATATTTTTCAGCAGAAGCGAGAAATAAAAGAATTCAGCGATTTAGATTTCATGATAGAAATATAGTCAATTGATTTTGCAGAACTTATAAGATGTAATACATAGGAATAACATTTTCTTTAAGCTAACAAAATGACTGTCATGCAAACTAAAGGAGAAATTATGGTACAATAACGCTAAACACTGAAATCTGACTTTCTGTGACGAAGATGAAGCAGAAAATGCTATACTGCAAGTTAGTTTAACTGTTTATGCTATATAACATAAAAATTTTCCTATTAACTCAGAAAATAGCTCTTTTGGAAAATAAAAGAGGAATCATGGTTCAGTAACATTATAACACTACTATAATCTACGTATTGTCATGAAAGATAAGAGAGAAACTGTTGCATAATAAAGCTTTTTTATTTTATTGTATAAATTCTCATTATATATATAATAAAAACATATAGCATATCTCTGTCTCTCGTCTCTCTCTCTCTCTCTCTGTATATATATATGTATTATAAAAATGAATAAATAAAGAGTAAGAAGAGAATTCAAAACCCAATTTCATAGCGCGCTGAAAACAGCAACAAGTGGGGATAATAATGCAAAATTAATTAAAATAAATAATACACTTAAACTTCATCCCGTATTCAATTCGAAATAAACTATATTCAAAAATCAAAAATGAAAAAATTCAATTTTGGTATCCAAACCAATAAAGGTTGCCGACACAGTGCATAAAATACAAAAGGTTTTGTTCCGTCTTATGACTAATTCAATAAAATTATTGATAAATTCAACAGCAATAATTTAGTTACAGATACTTAATTGCATTATGAAACCAAGAACTACAATCACTTCACAATTTTTTCAATAACAACTCCTTTGACTATAAAATTTGCACTGACCTGGCATCTATTGATATCATTAAAGATCTCATTGAATACAAGATCCCTTAACATAAAACTAACTGTAAATCCCTGAACATATTAACTACTGTAAAATTAATTTTATACTTCCTAAGCTTTACTCAGTTTATCAAAACATTCAAAAAATGACAAAAATATTTCCCAATTAATGACTCTAACATTAAAATCTGCTCCAAATAATAAAAAAAATTAAGTAGTGTCTTTACCAACTACAACAACCCGTTATTGTGAACCTGTTATTGACTCGCCTTGTTTCTGCCATGAATCGAGCTTTGAGAAATACATTCACCAGCGTCACAAACATATTATTACCGAAGATCTTAATATTGTTACGAATTTGGTATTTAAAAAGCTAATGTTAGTTCAATTATAAATTAAATGGTTTTATTTCTCACGCAGTGCAGCGCGTGACGAATATTAAAAGAGAGCTAAGCCAAAAAATTGAAAATACAAGAGCGCGTGCATTAAATAAATAAATATCTCTTTTTGATTTCGAGAAAATACTGGAAAATTCTAGCACGTGATTTTAAAATCTTATAAAAGGAGGAAAACATCTCAGTTTGTAGTAGTTTGAGTTGATACGAATGTTGTTTGAGTTCGTATTATTATTTTGCTCTACGAGTGTGATTCTAAAATTTAGGAAGTGAAGGAAATTTATTTATAAATAGTAAGTGTTTTTCGTTGGTCTCTTTCGAGAGGCGTACTTGGAGTAGCTCATCTGGACAAGTTCGTGAGTATATTTTTGATTTCTACGCTTTCATTATGGACATTGTCTTGTACATCGATAGGATAGCTACACTGACTTGGTAAAATATGGATGAGATAAATGATTTAGCAGTCCTTAATAAGCGCGATATTGTTGAGAATATTCTTAAAACATGGCACGATTGAGGATTGTAGGCAGATTATGGTCTGAGTTTAACTTAGCGTTTAACACGCTTAGAAATGGCTTACGGAAAATCACCCCAGAAATGGAGCAATGGCTCCAAAAAACCTATGCAGAGCTTGAGAAGTGTGTAGCGATTAAACAAGCTGCAGGAGATTCAGTGCAAAATATCTGCGGTAGCATCCCGTTAGTTAATACTAGCAATGATTCGACATCTAATCAAACTACAAAGCAACCCAAACCAGTTTCAAATGTTATTCAGGAAATAAGCAAAATAAATAATTATAATGAAAAATGGATTACACCCCAAAAAAATACCACAAACGCACACTTAGTGAAAGCAGCAACGGCTTCAATGACGTCAACCAAAAATAAATACGCTTCACTAAAAATAGATGATAAAATGGACACTACAAATGTTAGTTCACTAAACTCACAAGAAGACAGTACTAATAATGAAGGTGATTTCATTACGCCCAACAAAAAGGCTAACAGAATTCCGCCGATTATCATTTCAGATGTCACGGACTGGAAAGCCCTCAGAGATAATATTAAGCAATTTACCATATCCATGGAATGTGTACAGAAAGGTGGTGATATCCACATTAAAGTTAAATCGGACACTGAGTATCGTGAAGTCACGAGATACCTAGACGAAAAGGAAATTCCTTACCATACCTTTCCCTCTCCCTCAGGATAAACCGATAAGAGTTGTAATCAAAAAATTATCTGTTCACACCAAACCCGAGGACATTATGGAAGAACTAATAGATAATAACATCCCGGTTAAAACAGTAAGACAAGTTACCAAGAAAATAGACAATGAAATTGTCAAACTACCCACTTTCATGGTTGAAGTCAAACGCAGCATAGAAGGCAAGAAAATATACAACATAACGCATATTCTAGATTTGGCTGTTAAAATTACTCCCTTCAGACCCACTCCAGGACACAAACAGTGTCACCACTGTCAGAGGTATGGCCACAGTCGTGCTCACTGTAAGCACAAGCCCAGGTGTTTAAAATGCGGGCAAAACCATATTACTACTACATGTACAAAAGACAGAAACTTACCCGGCAAATGTTGCCTCTGCGGAGGCCCCCCACATTAGTTCGTACCGTGGTTGCGAAATGCATCCGGATAACTTGAAAAGAAAAAATTGCAGCAGAAAAAGAATTCCAAAAAGAAGCGAGAAAAACTTCAAAAAATAAGTCCCCTGATATCAACTTAGAAAATTTCCCACCTCTTCCAGAAGAAGAAACATAACCTCAAAATAGCAGTGAAAATGTTAATGAGCAGAATGCTTCATCCACCAATCAGGACGCAGCTGTCGAAAGTGAGAACTTAGGCTCCGTTTCCGATTTCATAATTTGGCTGAAGAAATTATTCCTGCAAGGAAAAAATCTCTTCGAGCGGTTCTTAAAATCTAAATCAATATTGGAAAAAATCCAAGTCGGCTGGGAAGCCTTTGAACTTTTATCAAGCATCAATTATGAATTTTAACCACATTAACAGTAATTCAAGAACTCACCTCACTGCCCCCAGCAGTTTAAACCTTCGCATTTTTTAACGCCAACGGTATTCGCCACAAGAACGTTGAAGTTGCAAACTTCCTTAATCACCATAATATTGATGTGTTTCTAGTGAATGAAACTTGGCTCAGACCTAATGATAATAAGTTCAAGATCAATGGTTACAACGCATTCAGGACGGACAGAGACCATAACAGGGGCGGCGGTACTATGATATTAATTAAAAGGCATCTGCACGCCAACGAGTTTAATATTCCCAATAGCAGCAGCATTGAAACCACTGCGATCGTTGTGCATTCGCGCACAAATGAGCCGATTGTCATCATCTCGGCTTATAATCCCCCCAGAAACATTCTCATCTCACCAACAATGACTTGCAAATTTTTAACAATATCACTCACCCTGTTATTATAGCAGGGGACCTGAATTCTAAACATCATAGCTGGAATTCTCAAAGAAATAACACAAATGGCAACAAACTTTATAGCTATGCTCTTACGAATGACCTTAGAATTTTTGGACCAACGGAACCTACCAGGTATCATCATACAGGCAGCTCGGATGTTCTCGACATTGTTATTACAAAAAATATCCAGCAAATCCCTTTCCTACAGGTGATTAATCAATTAACCTCTGACCATCTCCCTGTTAAATTTACTTACCATGGCTTTGAGAAGACCTTGCCTTTAAAGAAAATTATAAACTGGCAGAAATTCAATAATTCTCTGGAACAATTACCTGCACACCCGGCTCTTGCCGATATTGTAGACATTGAGTACAATATCACTAAGATCAATAGTAAAATTAAGAAAGCCCTTGATGATTCCACCAAATTCAAAGATTATAAGAAAGACAAGCTCCCCGACCACATCATTGAGAAAATAAAAGACAAAAACCGCACAGCAAAAATCTGGCGAAGAACAGGCGATCCCACTGTTAAAAGAAATCTGAACAGAAAAATTAGGAACATCAAGACCCTCCTCCTAGAGTACAGATCAAATTGTTGGGACGATTTCTTAGACTCCATGGATTTCTCTCCGAATACAGTCTGGCGTATTGGAAATTCCTTAAGGAATACTAATAACAGAAATATTGGTCCTCTCCACACCAGTAGTGGAATTGCTTATTCTGAACATGACATGGCTGAAGCCCTTGCGCAGCATCTAGAAAAGACTTTCACCAATCATGCCTCTAATAATGATGAGACAGATGAAGAAGTCGATAATTTCATTAACCACCTAGCTGACAGAAATTGTAATAATCACTTCAACCCAACTTCTCCAAGCAGAAATAAGTAATATAATTAGCAACTTAAAGTCCAGGAAAGCTCCCGGCTACGATAGCATCACCAATACGGTTCTCAAAGCTCTCCCAAGAACCTACATAGTCCTCATTACAAACATAGTCAATGCTTGTATGAGGCTCAATTACTTTCCGCAAC